TCATTAAACCAAAAGGTTAAGGAAACACCAGTTGTGCTAATACCAAGTTTTATGTTAAAATGAGACTGTGTAGGGACTACAGATACATACAATCACCATCATCTCCTTGCAGGTGTTGGTGAGGCTAATTCATAGCTTAACATTAATCTTTGAGGGCAAATCTTAAATTGAGCATCTTTACTTTGGAATTTTCGTTACCTTTTAAATTTGCAGTTGAGGACTCAATTTTCTAGGTACTGGTTTGGTATCATTTTTTCATGATGTCTTGATTATGTTATTCATAATCGGGAAAAAAATATTACCTTAATGTATCTTTTTCTTCCAGGGCGACAGGAACAAATGTAGAATAAGTACCTTAAATATCACAGCGTTGAACGCTTCACTCCTAAGGCAATTAACCCCTGTTAAGGCAAACAGTGTTGTGCTTTCTCAAACATGGAAGAAAATCCTTAGTCCTTTCAGGATTAATATTTGTTTAATCTTTTCTGTCCATGAAAGGCAATAATTTCTGAGCTTCTTAACTTTTGATACATTGGACTTGGTGTAACAGGGAGTGTCCTGGAAAAAACCAGTCCTCCCAGATATTCACAAACTGTCAGCATGACTTCTCTGGCCACACAATATGTCTTTTTATGGAGATATTTTGCTGTAATTTCAGAAGGTGGTTGTTAGTTATCTTGGCTACATTACATTTAGCACATCTGGGATGTGTTCACATGAAGACATTGGCTAAAAGCAGTGTCTTGTGGCCTGGAATTAACTCTGATATTGAAAAGACTGTAAAGGACATTCCTTGCTGGTTGGCCTAACCCAAAAAAGACACCTTCCATGGAAGGCCCAGTCAGGAATTCATTTTGGATTTGAAGAACCAGTACAGAAGTTGAATTTCTCAATTGTGGTGAATTCTTTCCAAAATGGCTTAATGTGCTTTCAGCTCTTTCCCAAATTTCTGCCTTGGCAATTTATAACCTTGGGATCAGAATTTCTGACAATGGTTCTACAATTACTTTATCTGAGTTAAAGTAATTTAGGGAAACGATTCTCATCTGAGTTGCCACCACTGTAACGCATCACAGTGTAGGCCACCAAAAATGCCCTAAGGCACACTGGGACACAGTGTTTGGCTTTCATCCTGCAGGTCAGAACTTGGTATTTGGCAACAGAAGCCAGTTCTGCTAAACTGGTAATGTAGCTATATTGAAGTTTTCCACTCTTTAATGAGAATGACTAAGACATAACAGAATCTTGTTCCATCTGTGCCTATTCTCCATTTATTTTTAGCACCAAAGTTTGTCTTAGCTGAAAATTATGGAGTTTGAAAAAGATAGGATTTTTCCCAATTAGTGGAAGTTGTAAGGTACATTTTTTATAGTGAAGTATATGCATGCTTCAGGGTGGCTTTGCCATATTTGCTCACAAGTAACTTAATTCCAAGGACTGATTAATAATGGAAAAACTAGGATTTTCAGGCAGGTTATCATTTATTATTTTTATCATTTTCTTAGGATACTAAAAATTTCTTTCACATTTGTGCAAAGGTTTGGTATAAGGTGAGAAAGTGTATGAAAAATCACTTTGTAGGTTGTAAAGTGTTCTGTGATGTGGATAATATTAGTACTGGTAGAGATAGCGTCAACTATACACAACTTATATAGCACTTACTATGTGCTGGGAACTGTTCTAAGTACGTTCTGTAATTATAACTATTTAGTTGTCACAGAAACCCTACGAAGGTCGGTGCTCCGACTATTTCATTTAACAATTGAGGGACTGAGGTCCAGAGTGGTGAAGTAACTTGCCTGAGATCCCCCAGTTAGTATATGGCATAGAGGGGATTTGAACCCAGGTGATGTGGTACTAGAGTTAAGAACAGAGATACAGGGAACCTCCTCTCCTTTCTATGGCATTTTGAATATTACATACTTAGAAAATATATGCTTCTAACTAGGCGGGAATTGGATGATAAAAGTGTTGCTCGTTTGATTTTGATGTTTATGAATCTGATAGGAACCTGTGATTTTATTTTATTTGCCTGAAGAGAATTTAAAAGTAATCACAAATATGATGATTATTTTAAGTTGGTGTGACACAATTTTACTCTGTTATTGGTTTTAAACAGTTTTATTCTTCTAGCAATATAAAGACCATTTTTTAAACAAAGGATAAAAAGCAGTTTTTTATATCTTCTTAAAAAAACAAAACTACTGTTTGTTTATCTCTTGGTTGGGTTCTTGGAGTAGTGTGATTAGAAGGTGTGGTGAATATGCTCTTACAGACAGTGGACAGGGAGCTGGTTTGTAAATGTCCAGACTTCCACTTACTGTAGATTCTCTTCTGGACACTGATGCTAACTTGTGCAATTTCAAGGAAAAAAGACCTGGATTTTCATGTTTGTTACCTTTATTCATAACAAATTGGCAAATTTAATCTTTCAGGGTTAGTGTGAATGGTCTGTAGAGGTGAAATCCATGATTAGTACAAATGAACTACCCTTTAAAGAGATTTAGTGCTTCAGTTAATCTGATCTCAGATTTTTCTCCTCAATTTCTAACTTCATCCCAATAGTTTATGTGTCTGAAAGTTCTTTAAAGGTGTCTCTTGCTACAATGAGATACACATTAGAAGCCTATTTGACTCCAAAGAAATGTTGCATTTTCTTTTTCCTCCCCTTTTGAAAGGATTATTTTTGGCTAGATGGAATTAATTCAACTCAAAGAACCTTCTCTTAAAAAAAAAGTAGAAACTATTTCCATTTCTTATGTCTTCTCTAGGTGCCCTACTTCGGTTTTACAGGGAATAGTAAAGTTGCATTCATTGGTAGAATAAGCTCTTACAACTCACTGTTTCTTCCAAGACTAGTCATCACCTTTACTTGCTATGCCCCTATGTAAAAAGGACTTAAAGGAAGAAACATGAAATAAGAAGCAATAATAGAGGTCTGTGTTGTAAGAATTTAATAATCAAGCAATAAAAGTTGCTGTATGCATGAGCAACTGCAGACACTCAAGTGTCTGTTTAAATTTTTGGCACTGGGACATTTAGGACATATTTGTTGTGCATTAACTATGCACAAGACAGGTCTGCTCTGGCGATTATCTGGGTTAGTAAAGGAAATATGCCATGTAACTCTCGGCAGAGTCCACTGCTTCCTCTTCTGTGCTTCCATAGGACTAGTGTACGTCTCCACTATGGAACTTGTCTCACTGTAAACTCTTGCAGGGGAGGGTTCAATCTTACATACTTAGGATAGAGCCTAAAACAGTAGGTACCTAATGAATGTTTACAGAATGAAGAGGAAGACAGTATCTGTCCGTAGGTAAGAGAGAAGAAGACCATTTCAGGCAGAGAATGTGATGCGAGCAAAGAGAAAGACTTGGAAGACTCGACTTGAGAAATGATTGCATTATTCAATATGGTTAAAATAGAATGCACGAAGGCACTATTGGTGCTACAGTTGAAAAGGTAGAATAGGTAGGATTTCACAAATCATTGTCAAGTTGGGGTGGGGGGGGTAGTAGATACTTCCTTAAGTTGGGAGCCCAAATGACTAGAACAATTGTGATCTCTTTAAAATTGAAATTGAGAGAAAAACATGTTTAAGAGAGAAGGAATATTCTGTACTGAAAAAATCAAGTTTGAGGTGCCAGTAGGACTTCAAGACTTAGATAAGGAAATCTAGGTGGAAACAAAGTGAGAGGCTCCAAAGAGCAAGGCTGAGGCTGGAGGAAACATATTTGGCAGTCAGACCTGCAGAAGTGGTTATGTAACTGAGGGTCAGATGAAATTGCTGATGGTGAGAAGGAAGATGGGGAAAGGAACACAGCAAAAGAACTAAGGAGAAAACCTTAAACATGTGAGAAAGAAGGAAAACTGACGCATGCATGTGAGAGAGAGAGGAGCAAAGAGAACCACGTGTCACAGCATAAAAGGAAGGAGTGCTGAGGAGTGGGGGGTGCAGCACGACATGGGGAAGTGGCCTGGATTTTGCAGTCAAGATGCAAGTTCAACCCCCTGTTAGCTGCATGATCTGCGGCCAGTGAAGTAAGCTCTCAGGCTGCTGTTTCCTTCCCTGCAAGATGAGAATAACACCTCAGTTGTTGTATTAATTTCAATAGTTTAAACAAATCTTCTTTGAATAATACTTTAACATCATTCTTTTAAATTGAGATACTAATCATAAATAAAAGGGAAGACTTGGAGTTATCGCCTATGTTTCTTATGCCTTATTTGCAAAATGTATTACTTAAAAAACGTCCTATAATCAGTACAAAATTGAAGACTTAAGAATTTTTGAATTACATGTTTTTAGGATGCACTGTCTTTTGCCTACTGTCTTCTGAATAAAGCATCTTGGAGTTTAAATATAATTCACTCTGTCTTATCAAGCTTAATTTTTGAGCATCTGCTGTACACTCAGCTCTTTTCTAGCTCTTTCTACTAAACTCCTTTAACTAAGGCTTTTGTGTTCTAATTCTTAGGGTGTTTATTATTCTGTTTTCTTTAGGCACCACTGATATTCTTACTAACACTGGGACCTTCAACTTTTAAAGCAATCTTAAATTTATAGTGTTTGTGATTTTTCTAGTACGTTCTATTGAAATTGCTATGTTTTATTTTTTATTTCTGGGAGAAGTAAAATTATTTTTAAACTACTTTATCAATGTATGATTGACATATGGAAAGATGTATATATTTAAAGCATACAACTTGATGAGTTCAGAGATAAGTATGTGCATCACCACAACCTATGCCATAATCCTGTTCATCTCTTCCCAAAGTTTCTTCTACTTTCTTTATTATGAGAAGTAAAACTATTATTATTTTATTGAGACACATTTGCAAATTTCACCTCAAAAAATATTATTTGGTATAAAGTTAATTTTTCCATGTCTTGACATCATCCATAAAATGTATTTCAAGTGGCATTTTAATATACTGACATTTTTGATTTTATTAGAAAATGGAACAATAATTAACACTTTTCTTATCCTTCTTATTAGGGTAACACATTAAGAAAAATACTCCTGAATCGATACTTTAAAGGTGATTATGGAGTTGGTATGAATGGACATCTATCAGGTACCTACTCCAAAACTGCACAAGTGGGAGGTATGTCTTCTCATTTTTTCTCATTTTAGGATTCTCATGATATATCTTTTATTTTTTTTTTACAATTTTATCTGTCAATTTATTTATTTATTTTATTGGTTATGAATATTCATTGTCTTTTTTACTGACCGGTAACGGGATCGCAACCCTCGGTGTCGCGCCTGCATGATATATCTTCATGTCAGTATAACTCTAGTATTTTACTTAAATGGCACAAATACAAAAAGTTTATTTTAAAAGCACTATTAAAAACCTTTGTACAATTTGGGGTTATGCAACAACAAATTTGAACATAAGAATTGATTTTTGCCTTTTGTCTTTGGAAAAATAGTTAAACCAAGTCATAATTTCTTAACATATAAGTTAAGTACAAAAATAAAGCTAGTTTCTTTTTCTAAAGTATTTTTCTTAAGAAAAAGACATTTAATTACATGTGTCAGACTTTAATAAAAAGTTGATAAATATTCTTACGATTTAAGAATTTGAAAATCTTATATGCTACAATGCCTATAACTAAAGTTTATTTATTCTTCCCAATCACAGGAAGCTTTTCTGGACAAGATTCAGATAAGATGGGGATATCAATGTCAGATATTCAGTGTCTGCTCGATAAGGAGGGTGCATCTGAACTTGTCATTGATGTTATAGTGAACACCAAAAATGACAGAATTTTTTCAGAAGGCATTTTCCTTGGCATTGCCTTGCTTGAAGGAGGAAATACACAAACACAGGTACCTGTTTATCAGTCATGGGCATTACATTTGTTATTTGTATTTTTTATTTACTTGTCATTAGAAACCAAGGGAAATTAATGTTTTTCTTTTAGCTTCTCATTACTATTTAAAAAAAAAAATCCACGTATCACATTTTCCTTATAAATTTATTTGGTTTGCTGTAGAAACTATAGGACTTCACAATTTAGTCAGTAAAGTAGAACATTCCTTAGAGGCATTCTTCTGATGTTATACCAGGACTTCCACTACAGTGAGCAATATGCACAGCTGCACACAGGGGATAAGAACAGTATTTCCAGAAGACACAAGTTTCCCCTTGAAGCTCCTGCCAAGCTGCCCTTAGGCTCCTGCACACCCAACGCTGCCTGAGCCCAGGCTGGGAAGTGTTCCCAGAGAACACACATTGTCCTCCAGCCTTGCTGCTCAGTAACCTGCTCTTTCTAGGTTTGCCTCGATCAGTGAAGGAAAGTGTATGCTTACAACTAATTAGAAATTCCAAAATCCATTTTCCCTATTCATGTCTAGCAGGAATTTCCAAATTTGCAATTGAGATATTTTATTTTAATTAGCCATCAAATACATTGGACAACAGGAACTTTACTATATGACACATCAAATAACAGTGACGTTAGGAATAAAGGCCTCATGAACAGTAAATGGCACTGTGACAAAAAGCAGCCCCCAAACAATATTTCTTAGTTGAGAAAAGAAAGTGTTGAAAATTCTCATGGTACTGAAGCTGCAGCACAGATTTCTGAGGGAAGTTGATGAAGGGGATAACGGAGGAATCTCAAACAATATTTCTTAGTTGAGAAAAGAAAGTGTTGAAAATTCTCACGGTACTGAAGCTGCAGCACAGATTTCTGAGGGAAGTTGATGAAGGGGATAACGGAGGAATCTGAGTGGGTTTTCTTGGAAATTGTCTTCTACAACCAGGTATTCAGTCGGGATTTTCTAAAGAAGTTCTCTAGGCGACTACATAAAATTAGATGTAGACCATTCAGAGGATAGGATTTTTTTGGCATCTCTAGAAGCAATCCTTAGGATTATAATACTTTCTAGATTTGTGTTTCTGGGTCATCAGATGGGATCCTCCTTCATCCTCCTTCATCCTCCTTACATGTTTAAAATTACTTAAGTCCTTATATTGCTGAGGAATAAGCCAGTTCCCGTCAGAAACTACATGTTCCACTTTTAAATTCCTGGCAAGTTGTTCGCTGGATCCTTTCACAACCAAAATGACCTCAGTCCTTATTTATATGACGTTTCTATGGCACTTGTCACTGGTGACTTTTGCTTTCTTCTTGAAACCTTTTCTCCCTGAGTCTTGGGACACCACCCTCTCCAGCTTCTCTGCCTATCTCCTGCCCTTTCTGCTCACCTCCTGTGAGGGCTCCTCTTCCTCTTCTGAACTCTTGAATCCTGACATCTCCCAAGTTTCTTTGGACTCTGCTCTGTTATTTGAATTGTTTCCCAGCCTGGTCTCATTCATTTTCACATCTCTAACTTCTGCTCTATGCTGATGATTCTCAACTCACTCACTGGAATTCTAGACCTTACATCCAGCTGTCTCCTAGAAATCTTTAGTAGCGTGTCCCACCAGTACCTTAAACTCCACGTGTCTTAAATGGAATCCACTAATGTCCTCCATACGCCCATTCCTCCTTTCACATTGCTGCTCTCAGGGACTGACACTCCGTCTACTCAGTTGTCTGACCAGGAACTGAAAGTCAGTCTCAACCTTAACTTATCCACCTTCACTCCCGTCCTGAACATCCTGTTGATGACAGACCTCTGACTCTGCCCTCTTAACATCTCTCAGATCCGTACTCTGTTTTTAATCCCTGCGTCTCCAGCCCTCATTACAGATCCTTCTTCTCTTTTCCTGGACTATGATGAGTAGTCTTTCAAGAGGTATCCCTGCTTCTATTTTTTCTCTTCTCCAAATCATCTCCATGTTGGCTCCAAAAATATTCTGAAAACGTTTTTCTCCTGCTTAAAATCTGCCACCTGCCCTATAAAGGCAAACTCCCTACCACAGTTCATAACATCCTTCATGATTTAATCCTTTCCTTTCTTATTCCACCTCTTCCTTCCTCCATCCTTTCTTTTGTGCACCAGCTGTACTAAACTCTTTGTAATTCCTCAAATGTGCTGTGTTATTTCTCATACCGCTTTCTCCTCTTTGAGGATTCAACTCAATGGACTTCTGGAAGTCTTTTCTAACCCCATGTCCCGCTGGGTAGAATTGATTACTGGTCACTATGCCCCAGCTATAACCTGAAGACACCTTAAGTAGCATTTCTGCCACTTTGTTGTACCTCTTCATGTGTACATCAGGCTCTGTGTAGTAAATTATAAATTCTTAAAGGTCAAGATCACATATTCTTCTTCATACCTCTGTGTCTGGCATGGGTCTGACCAATCACTTAGTTCAATAAATGTTCAGGAGAGAATGGTTCTGATCAAATTCTACTTCCTTCACAATGTCTTCTCTATCTGGCTGGGGGTTGGCAACCATTCCCTTATCTGAGCTCCTGTAACACTAGTTTCTTCAATGCTCACTTGGCACTTTGCCTGTGCTACTTTGTTTTATTGTTATTTGTATTACAACCTTTCTCTCCAATTAAATGTAAACTTCATTAATGTAGGGAATCCTGTCCTATTTTTTATATCTACTGTGCTTAATAGACATTCAACAAATATTTGTTGATGAAACAGCATTAAATTACTTCTGTATATGAAAATCTTCTTTTAAGATGGGTTATGACAGTCTTTTTTGCTAGCCTCCCCCTCTTCAGGTTTCTCAGTTATGTACATCATTGTATAACCGAAATGTCAGCTATGTGCTCCTGGCTCTAAGAGGTCTAGCTGAGATCAGCTTGAATCTTATTCCTTGCCCTATAGCAGTCTAAAATGCACCTCTTCCCAAGTCTTCTACCAATTCCCTGGAGGTTTTACATTCTCACTGTCTCCTTAGCCACTAATATCTTGATTTTTCAGTTCATGGATTCTCTTGCTTCTATCACACTGACATACGAATTGAAGCCCGTTCCTTAATTTATACCTTCCTAACTATATAAGTTGGTTTATTATTTAATGTACTTTATTAAAGGTCATTTGAGGGGGAGGGTAGAGGAGGTACTTATATTATAATTTCAGATCGAACACTAATAATAACAATAAGAAAAATAATACCTACTAAATACCAGGCACTATCCTGAGATTTATATGTATTAATACCTGGCTAATCCTCAAACAACCTGTGAAGTTACTTATATATTATCCTATCTTACCAAAGAAGGAACTGAGACAGACCCATGTTCACATAACCACTTAGAGATAAAGCCAGGTTTCGAGCCCATGCAATCTGTATCCAGATTCTGTGCTCTTAGCCACAATAAACATCTTCTTTCTAGAAATAACCGTCTACATCCCCAGACCTGGGAAATTTCACTGGCTGATCCAGCCTTCATTCTTTCTCCGTCTCTCTAGATCCTCACTGCACCTCCGTTCTCTGTTCCTCCCATTTTTAGTCACCCTAATCCGTCCTTCTTGGACAGTCCTTCTTCTGTCACACAGATCTGTTTATCTATCACCCTTGGCTCCTAAAAACAATAGTTTCCCCTTACTCTCTGTGCAGCTAATGGAGGTCGTTTGCTAAGAAAAAAAATCTTTAGTAAAAGAAATCCTTATGCTGCCTATTGAGATTATGTAAGTGTATGTAAAACATACTTTTAATCTTCATTGAAATTATGCTGTTCAGCTTTGTAGGGCCTTGATTTTTAAAAGGTGTCCTCTATTTAAATATTCTATTGTTTTGAGCTTAAGAGGTTACTTTATAAATTTAGTGCTTATAATCAGGAAACCTAGATCTAAATCCCAGCTTTACCACTTACTAGTTATGTAATATTAGGCAAGTCACTTACCTTCACTAAACCTCGATTTATTAATCTGTAAAATGAAAATAAGTACGTTCTATTCATCACACTGTTAGACTAAAAGTAGTCATGGGGTGATGTATATGAAAGATCTACATAAATTATAAAACTTTGTTTTAATAGAGCCGCAACATTTCCGTGACATTCTCGTTAATATATTGGAAACTCCTTTCACCTTCTAACCCTGTTATATTGAAAATATTAGGGCTTAAGCATCAGCTTAATTTGAGAGAAGTAGAGGTCTGTGAATGCTGCGTTTACCTTTGAATTAACAGAACCAGCTCTACCGGTTCACTGTAGTTGCCATGGTTACTGTGACTTTTTGGCCTGCTTCCTTCAGGGGTTGCTAGCCCTCTGCTTAGGAGCTTCCCCTTGTAGGTAGGAAGCCAATTTCCAAGGCTGCAGAAAACACTCTGTGTGTGTATGCACTGCCCATATGAACAATTACAAGACGGGCAACCATTTCAAGACCTGATGTCATTTGAGTCTCACCTACACGTTCCAACCTGTGGGTCACAGTTCCAGGCAATCCTTTAGGAACACACATCTTCAGGAGCCAAAGTCCCCAAAATTGGCTGTTTGGATTTTCTTATATTGGATGATAGCCAGTTTTACTTGATCTGGAAATTATTATTTTTTCATATGTTTTCTTCACACTATTATCAAGCTTATATAAGCCTCTTTTAATCACTATAGTTATAGGATTATCTTTATTAAGTTTTTACCTATGTTTCTCTTTGTGTGGTGTCTGTCTCATAATTTCAGTATTAATAGCTTATAATTTTCCCACCCACTTCAACTTCTATCTTCTCGGGAGTATTTCACCTTTCCTACCTCCTACCTCTTCTCCTGGATACTTCCATAAGGCACTGAACAGACAGTGATTAGGGTAAACATTCCCAAGATTCAGTATTTCCACATCTTGCTAACATGTATTTTATTATACTTTTGGTGCTGAATTTTTTCTACATCATTATTCACTAGAAAGCAGAATTTATTTTAAGGTGGGTTTGTCCTAGACCCAATGTGAAACAGTGTATCTAGTGAAATACTTAGTACTCATTTGTCAGTCAGTTCCTGTGAGTAATTATACTTTTGGTGCTGAATTTTTTCTACATCATTATTCACTAGAAAGCAGAATTTATTTTAAGGTGGGTTTGTCCTAGACCCGATGTGAAACAGTGTATCTAGTGAAATACTTAGTACTCATTTGTCAGTCAGTTCCTGTGAGTAAGGCTGCCATGGGAACACTTTCAAAATTACATGTACTATAATTTAGATAAAGAAAAAAATAATCTTTGTTAACTTTCCATGAGCACATTTTTCTAGAGAGTGATTATTGGATTAGTGGATGCTTTCCACTTTAGATTACAAACTCATGAGGGCAGGGATTGTGGTTGTTTTTCCTTTTTATTCTATCCATAGTGCTAGCTTAGGCCCTGGCACATAGTAGGCACTTGATAAATGTGTGCAGAATAGATGCATGACTTTATAATAATATAAAAATCAAAGAATTCTTTCCATGTAACCTCTTACCGTGCTGTTATAAATGTTTAAAAATATATAATCAGTAAGGATAAGTTAAATAGCATATGAAAATATGTTGGGTTTTAGTGGAAAGTTCTAAGTAAATATACTAGCTATTACTAGTACATATTAAATTGCATAAGAGACTGGCAAAGGCTGTCAATTTATGAAATAATAATGGTTAGCACATTAAATGTGTGCTCTTATCTATGTTTATGTGTATTTCAAGCACAAAAACACTATTTTTTCTCTCTTTGGGTGTTGATAAGTTAACATACGTTTTCTTGCAGTATTCTTTCTACCAGCAGTTGCATGAACAAAAAAGGTCAGAAAAATTCTTCAAAGTTCTCTATGACCGAATGAAGGCTGCTCAGAAAGAGATAAGATCGACAGTGACAGTTAATACCATAGATTTGGGTAGCAAAAAAAGGGATGATGACAATGAATTGATGACATCTGGTCCACGAATGAGAGGTAATTTGAGTATTTGGGAAAATAGAGTAAGAGAAAGAGGGTAACAGAGCATTTAAATCTCACTTATCTTTGTCATCTCATTTATCTTGGTTTAATTACCCTGCTGTGGCTCTGAGCATGGACTTCCATCCATAAAGAGTTTCAGTCATGGGCTTGACACTGAAACAGCTCTGCAGGACCAAATGTAAATGAGACATAATCAGTGCAGAGCAACCAGTGACATGAAAAATGGTTGATTTCATTTTGACATGCATGGTAAAGAACTGCCCCAAACCTTTTAAGTGACCGTGAAAATTAAACTTGAAGAGCAGAAATTATAGCACCAAACTCCAGCAAAAGCTTCTTGGTATTTGGAATAACAAAATCACCAGTGTATTAAATACAAATCATAGAGATATTAACATTTTGAAGTTTGTTATATTTTTCTATCTTCTTGTATATGTGAACTCATATAAATTATTTATATATATGAAATATATATATATATATATAATGTCAGAAAAACATGAGCCCTTCTAAAACTGACTAAGCATTGAGATCTTTTTTATGTCCCATTGCAAATTCAACTTTTTAGTTGCAACCTCAAATCCTTTTCGGGAAATTATTGCATCTCTTGTCAGATGATTTTTAATTTAATTATTAGAGAATTTGGGGACCTGGCTGTCTTTTTTTTTTTTTAATTACCTGAGGGAAATTAGTTCAGACATATAAGAGTACTGCTTTATTTTCAGTAAGAGATTCATCATTACATTTAAAAGAGGGAATGAAAGGGCAATTGACAGAAGCTTCTTCAGCAACATCCAAAGCATATTGCGTGTACAGAAGAGAAATGGATCCAGAAATAGACATTATGTGCATGGGGCCAGAAGCAGGAAGTGCCGAGGAAAAGTCTGCAGAGGAAGTAACCATGAGTCCTGCAATTGCCATCATGCAGCCGATACTGAGATTTCTTCAGTTACTGTGTGAAAATCACAACCGGGAACTACAGGTATTTATTCTGTGAAAGCTGAGAATACAGCCTATTCTTATAAGTAATTAAATTCAAATAAAACCAGCAAATAGCTGTGAAGAGAGAATCAATAAAAGCAATAATGCTCTTCTGAAATAAGAAGAAGGTATTACATCAATGAAGAAAGATGATAGGAAAATTCCTTATGCATGAAAAAATCAAGCTCATATGGTATCGTTCTGTGTAATCCTCAGCTCAAATCTTTCTAGCCTCAATGGGCATCATCCATTCCTAGTATTCTGGTATTTGCTGAGTTAAGGTCAATTTGCCTCATTTATACTTTCATGGTTTTATAGACTTCAGGGGCTTTCATCATTTCCAAATCAATTCGCGTTTCTTGAGTGAGGATACTGAGTATATTTCTATGTCTTTGTTAGAAGAGGATTTTTTTTTTTCTTACAATGGTAGAGGTTGATACCTTTGTAAATGAATACAGTCAGTGTCTTACATGTTCCTTGCTACATTTTCCTTTGTCAGATAGATGAACTTAGGGGTGCCTAGGAATTTTGACTTTTTTTTTTTTTTGCATTATTCGTACACATTGTTCATGTCACCATGGCAAAGCAACTTGAAANTTTTTTTTTTTTGCATTATTCGTACACATTGTTCATGTCACCATGGCAAAGCAACTTGAAAGGAGAAATCCTTGATTGAAGGTGAGTATGCTTACCTTAAGAGCTTCCAGTTGGCAGACCATCTTTAGGTAAGGCATGCTTTTGGTCATGCCAAGTCGTCCATACTATGAGGTGGCATAGATGGCCCAAAATTTTATCAATGAATTATGGTGAAACTGGCTGAAATTTCCACAGTTAATCCTAGAATCTGCCTGTGTGCAGCTTCCTGCTCTGCATTTTCACTACAGGCAGCAGATATTCAATGTTTCTAAGAGGACGTATCCACAGTAGAGAGCCAAGTTTGAAGCTGTGTTCCCTAGTGAGAGTCTGGAGTGCAGGTGTTCTGAATTGGTGAGAGATGGTAGACTCCCCTCCAAGGGGATGAGAAAGCTCAGGTATTAAGGAACGTTGGAAGCCGTGACTTTTGTGGACTGTCCCACCACAACTTGGAGAGAGCTGCTGCAGTTGTCAGCAGGCAAAGGCCAGAGCCTCACTTTTCAGAGAGAGGACACTGGATATGTACCTACATGCTTACCCTAAACCATCCAGTCCGTCAATGTAGGAAATAGATATATCAAATATGTAATAGGTTATATAGTACCTGATCAAACATTTTACTGATAGGAGTGTGGGATCAAACAGCGTGGAAAATGCTACTTTTTAAATAGTTTTAAGAATAAATAGTAGGAATAAATTCAAGTAAATAAATAAAAATAAATTAAATTAATAAAAATAAGATGTTAAAGTGAAAAATAAAATCTTTTCTTCCTGCTTACCTTTTACCAGGTTTACTCCCCAGAGATAATTACTGTTAACAGGTTTTTTTTTCCTTTCAGACATTTTTATG